TACATAGTATATAGAATATCATGATTATGTAATTTACGCATAATCCAACAATTTAGGGTTGACTCAAGTTTTTCTTTGATATTGTATAAATTTGTGACTGGTATTTTTGTCTTAATTTTTTGTAATTTTTTTTTGACATTATGAATATAGTACATTGAAGAAAATTTAGTCCAACTTGTGAATTGTATTATCCGGATCACAATCAAACATACTAGAAAGTGAGTGATTAAACAATACAAAATGAGTGTTATGAACTGTAATGACAGATAAATACCAAAATGGAACATAATGGTAAAGATCCGATCCCACGAGGACAGAAACAACAAAGAGTACTAAGTGTCACATATTTAACAGTGTATCGAGGAGTTTGAATTCTCAGGATACTATCACTCCCAGAAGTACTGCAGGTGTTCGACTCGAAGGTCACTCAGAGGACACGCAATGCAGCGTAAATCACACACACACTCCTGAAATCATCAATTGCAGCAACACAAAGGTCGATTGCGACATTGTCTTAGTATTCAAGGGGGAAAATTCCCAAAGAGTACACTCAGGGATTTTGCACACAGCTACCAATTGCGAATTTGCTTAAATCCTGATTCTAGCCAATCGCTGTTCAGAACATTCAAAATGGGGCTACTACTTCGAATGCGGTATCTTCGACAAACCGAAGTACCTCTCACGCGGTGACCAACACATTCAACTCACAAACGCGCGGAGAATATAGACTTCAAAACTAAGAAAACTAAATTAAGAAAAGACCCCCAAAGCCAATGCCTTGGACTACTTTATTTCTAACTACCTCAAAACTGTCACCCGCTCTTATGCGAGCTCCGAACAGGCCCTAGACCTGCGGAGTCGGCAGTTGCCGCTCCCTCTAGCTTTCCATCTAAACCTAATCTTTTCAAAACGCCCACTAGCTCTAATTCTAGATTTACTACCGCGTCCCGCGATCTCGAGAGGAACGCGTTGAGCTTCTTGGCTAACCGGCGTTGCCTTCGACCGCTCCCTGCTATCAATTCCGCCGCACGATACTCGAGTTCTCGTAACCAAAGCCAGTTGTGCGTCTCAATCTGCCATAAAACACACCCGCGTAAACACCGATTCACCATCGCTGTTAAGGCGTCTCGCGCTTGTTCCGATAACTGCCGATTCTTCCCCTCGGCCTCCGTCAATCTCGTCTCCATCTCGCATAACTGCTCCTCAGCTTGCGACCGTTGTGACCTCAGCTCGCTACACCGAGCCTTCAACTTTTCTATTAACTCCGAGTCCAAGATCCGCGCAACCTCGTAATCGGCCAACTTCTTCGACCTCTTAGCAAACTCGGTATCGTACTCTTGCTCCTTCTTCTTCGCTGTTGCCGTCAGCTCATCCACTCTTAGTGACTCGGGGTCATATGCGGTCCGGCACGCCTCCAACCCCTTCAGGAGGTCCACGGTTACGCACTTGGCCCTCTCAACGTTCTCACGAAGATCCTCGCAGACCTTCTCAGAATACCTCCGCTTCTCAACTTCTTCGGACAGCTTTTTCTGAAGTACCTGGTACCTCGCCTCCGTCGACTGACTCTTGCGTTCCTTCACGGCGACCTCAGCAGCCGCTGCTACCTTGGTCCGTGTCCGGTTACATACTATCTCCACGTAAGACCCGGTGGTGGTTGCTTACGCATACTTCATTCGCTTCCGGTCGAGTTACTGGAGCAACACAAGTACCTGCACACATAGCATATCAGCGGCACTGAGGGCTTGTGACTGTGCCTCTTCCGCTGAAGGATCATTACCCGTCTCCAGTATGACTGTCCCGATGGAAGTTCGAGGTGATGCCACCTTTTGTGGTCCACACTCGGCTGCTACTACGTCCTCTACAGCCTTCGCAACAACTTCCTCCAATGCCACAAGGTCTTCCTTAGTGTTCGACACTGCCAACACCTCAGCAACTTCCTCCAATGCCACAAGGTCTTCCTCAGTGTTTGACACTGCCAACACCTCAGCGGTTCTTTCTCGAGGGGTTCTCATCCTGATACCCGCCGAAGGAAACTCATCCAACATCGGAGGTATTTCTTCTGTCAAGACAACTTTTCCCTTGTCTTTTCTTGAAGCCCTGCTTGGCTCCATGGGTGTCGACCTTACCTCCGTAGTTCGAGGCTTCTTCTCCGTCGGTGCTTCCTTCTCTCTGATTGTAGTCGTCTCTGGTCCCGCTTCTCAAGTGGAAAGTACTCTTGACGCAACACCTCTACTCTCTATGTTGCTATCCTCTTCCAGTATCAACCTCCTGGCTTTCATCTTCGACCTTGTCCGAAAGTTCGGCGATCGCATTTTGACAGGAGCGGACCGGCGTAAACATTCTTCTGCTACGGCGGCTTCATCGATCTCTTCCTCGGCTGTGAGTCTTGTCTTACTCTGGGCCGCTTTCTCCTCTGCTGGGGAGAATTACGTAGTGCGCCCTCAAGATCCGAGTCGACCTCGTTGGCACTCATCACCACTTCTCCTTCTTGTGCCAACTCTCGCAATGGGAAGTTTCTACTTTCTGTGATAGTTAGTATTTCCATACCTCTATAGAAATTGGTCAAGAATGGAGACATGTAACAAGCAGACCCTCATGGAATCCGCCCGATGTGTTGCCGGGTAGCTGTCCAGAAGATGCGCGCCCAATGGATGCGATTTCCCCTCAATGCTCTCTCCACGAACCCAATCTGTCAAATCATCATCTAGGTGGGTCGAGCCGGATGGAAAATCTGCATGAACGCCATTGTGATATTTCGCCTCAATCGATCGTGGTACCAAATGGTAGCCATTCTTCTCGGTGCGAGAGTGCTTGAACAGAGTGGCATAAGCACTTTCCTAATCTCTTGTTACTCTAACACTCTCGCTGTCAAAAGTAAGATCGCCATTGTCATCCGCACAACGATTAAGAACTTTCTTCCAATCCCAAATTTGCCATGTATCGGATTGCCTCAATAGCCCGACGGCTTTGGCAACCCATTGTTATCCCACTCCTGTATCATTGCATCGCTCGTCCAATTCCAACCCCACAACAGGAAGTCCATCTTCGAGAGAATTAAAGCACGACGATGAGCTCGTAGTCCTACTTTGGGAACTTTCAAAGCGTCTTATTTGATCAGGTGTGCCATCGCTGCTGTCTCTCGTTCGAGCCTCCGCGCCCCAAATTCTCCGTCGATTGCAAAATGTGTTCGTGAAATGTGGGCATCGAGCTCTCGCCTCCTCGGGTATACCCCGCCGTCGCAACTGTTTTCCATTCGTGTGAATTGAAGGTGCCGTCATTCAAAATTCTTTCCCGTGCAGCACTATCTTTTACGTCCATGGGTATACTTCGCCGTTCATGTATCCGCGAGAGCTCTGAGGTCTTCATTCGCAAATACCGAATACCCTAATGGGTATTCAGAGAACGTAGGTCTTCATACCTCATACCTCTTCTTGGTACCTCCCGATCCGCTCCTTCAGACTAGGATCTCGTTGGCCTCTAAAGGCCGCCCGCTTCTGCTGAGGTTTCCTCAAGGTTACTACTACTTCCTAACTTCCGACATAAAAAGACCTATTCTATTCTAATTTAATTACTTCTACTTTAAAAGTTAAAAACAACGTGGATTTCCCGTCCTACTACTCTATTTCTAGGAAAAACAAAAAAACTGTACTACCGAATGAACAAACACTTAACTTTATTAGAATTTTATATCTTTCCGATCTCTATGCATTTCACCGCTCCACCGGAAATTCCCTCCGCCCCTACCGTACTCTAGCTTGGTAGTTTCCACCGCCTGTCCAGGGTTGAGCCCTCGGATTTGACTGAAATATTTTCATATTTCATATTTTCATTGTCAAGAGTTATGAGCAGATTTTTCATATAGTTGTTAGATAATCAATCAAAAATTATATCAACTAAAATTTTGATTAAATTTAGATAAATGTGAATTTACTCATGTATTGTAATCTTAAATGTTTTGAAAAATATGATTATTTTGCAAAACAAAACTAGAATGATTAATCAAATTGATAATTTTATATGCAAATAAAATAAATTTGATAGTGTCAAGAAAGCTTGACACTGTTGAAAAAAGTTTAAACCTTTGTAGAGATTATATGAGAATCCGTTTATTTTATTTTTGAATACTATATTTCAATGAATTTAGTTTCTAAAGTGAGTTTATCATGAATAAGTATTAGTTTTATCCTTTTATCAAGAATTCTATTTTTGATAAAGCTATATTTGATAGTTATGTGTTTCATCCAATTATCAAAAGCTTGGTATTTTAGAAAATCTGATGCACTTTCATTATGATAATTTCATTCAAAAAATAACATTTTTTTCTTGTAATATCCTTATATATTCAGCTTTTATAATTAATTGAGGTATGTATTTGTGTCATATATGCAAGTTATTTGTTTTAAATTTTAACATTTATTTTATTGATTAAAAGACAAGAGTAAGTTCTTTCTACAACAACATGAATCTAACTATATAGAAACTTGTATGTGTATGTGTTTAATAAATCATCAAACCAGTAAATCTTAATCTTTAGTACTTTTGAAGATTTTGAAACTTCAAATAAGAGTTTTTCAATACATAATCATTAGTGTGAATCTAAAGTGACAACTCACATGATAAGTTGTGTTAAGAAAGAGTAAATGTTAGTAGTAGAGGAAGAACTAATGTGAAAAGAAAATAAATAAATAAAAGAAGTTTGTTACGTTGTAGTATAATGCTAGTTAGATAGGTGGCTAGGTACAAGAATTCGAGGAAAGTTTTTTGATGAAATCGTGAGCACTGGTTGGGTTGCCTTGTCCACGCAAAATTAGGTTTAGGGTCGGAGGTCGGGAGGAAACCGTAGTGGGCAACTTTGTGGAGATTAGTTGTCGCGGCATGGGGGTAGCTAACGAGGCCGATTAGCGGTTTCACGCGGAATTCACGAACAGGTCTTACCGAGATTGAGGAGGAAGATTAAAACCGACGGATTAGGGATTTATGGGCCGAAACGGGACGGGGTGGGAAGTAGTACCTTCTTCTATGATACGCGCCTCTGACGGACTGACCGACAGACTCGTCGTCCTTGGCAGGTCTAGGTAGAGGAAGCCATCTATCTCTTCAGGAATCTCGCGTCTTGGAGGGACCTGACTCGCTCAGGGAGACAGCCGCATTAGCATCAGTAGGAGAAAGGGAGAGAGAGGGGGGCAGGAGAGAGCATAGAGTAGATCACATCTGTCTATTACTGCCTCGGTTGGGGGTCTGTGGTCGTCGTAGTGAGCATTTGGAATGCACACATTTGTGATGACACCAGTATTCTGCAAGTTCCCCCTCCTCTTGTTCGATATGGGAACGATCTTCTAGTGATTGTAAATATGATTTCAATTAGTAGGCCATTTCTCCATCAAGCAGCTGCTGCAGCAGCCGAAAACGTGCTGGTGAGCGAGCGATTGGGATTCCAGTGATGTACGGATTGCGCATTTGACAAGGCGGACAATTGGTCACGCGTAGCTGGAGTTCTTATGATTGTGAGACTCACGCAGTGCCTAGCAAGCTGTTGATGCCTCCTTTGCATGAGACTGACAACTAGCCGGGAAAGCGTACTTTCTTACATTGGAACAAGCTTACTTGGCGAGGTGTGTAGAGAAATGTTGAGCTCTCAGTTGAGGTAGAAAGAGGCGGTCAAAGCAGCCATATACATGGCAGAAAAATTGAAAAAGCATTTCGAGCCTGCGGTGATGGCACTCGATAGAGTAGGAAACTCTGCAGTTGCTGAAGCCGGAAAGAGGATGAATGAGGCTTTAGCAAAGGTGTCATCACCTCACTCCTCACAGACACCTAGCTCTCCCAAAACCAAGTGCAAGGTCTGGGCTCAAAAGCTCACTCTTCAGCCCGTACCGAAATCTAAATAGGAACAATGATATTTGCTTACTGCAGTGTTGGAGAAGGCTTGGAAGCGTCCAAAGGGTTCACACATCATGCTACATAATTCCGATCATGTGCTCGGTCACACTGGTAGAAGTGAGTTGTCAATTTGAGTCACCTGCTGTGAGTGGAAGGGATTGTACTATCACTCAGAAACTCATCACCTTGGATGGAAGCGTCAAGCCTTCTGGTAGTGAGGCGGTTCTAGGAGATCACTACGTTGTCTTTGTGAAAGATTCTAGCTCAAACGGAACCTACATAAATAATCAAAGATTGAGAAAGAATAGCTTGGAGCTAAGAGTCCAACACAAGGACATAATATCCTTGGTTGCCGTTTCTGAACATGAGAATGCATTGGCTTATATATATCGAGAGGTTATTGATGATCCCATCAGACAAGCCCCCAAAAGAAAGATTCCTCTTGCAGATGTTGATAATGAAGGAATGGTTGGTGACGGGAAGAATATGCAAGGGATTACTACGTGTTTGAGTGAAGGACCTGTTTCTATTGATGATGTTTGGCGGTTGCAAAGGTCAAATGAGGAGTTGAGGCAGCAGCTAGAGGATCATGTGTTGAATACAGAGAAGATGCGCAGTGAAATGCGTGTTACGGAGGCACGCCATCAAGTTGAGGTGAAGGAAGTGAAAATATCTGTGGCAACCCAATATGTACAACAGATTGAAGAAATTAAACGAGAGCTAGCGAAGAAGGCAAGCGACTTGGAGCAATGTGTAGCGACTTCTGCACAACATGTGACAACCATTGAAGACCTGACTCAACGTCTTGCTGCAGCAGCTCAGTCTTGAATGGATGCCGAAGAAGCTATTTTAAGTCACAAGTGTAGCATAGCGGACCTTGAGAAGCGCTTGGAAGAGGAACGTGATCAAGAAGAGAAAGAGAGATTTCAAACAGAAACCAATTTTTGAGCTGCGATAGAGGGAACACATGCTGATTTGTTGAAGTAAGACAAATGACAACATGAAATATCAGCTCGTTTGCAAAAGCAGCAACAAGACATGATATTTGATCTTCAGGAGATTGACAAGGAGAATCGGCGCCTCCTAGAAAACCTTTGGTCAAAACTGGAGGCAAAGAGACAAATCGTTGTCAGTGCTGAAGAGAAGGGTCGAAGGCTTGAGGTTCTCATCCAAGAAGAACGATTTGCGAGGGATAGTGCACGCAACAAAGCTGTGGAACTTCAGGATGAGTGAAGGCACGTGTATATAGATTTGGAGAGCGAGAAGTCAGCAAGAGAGTCTGCAAGGGTAAAGATTGAAAGTTTGGAGTTGAAGATGGAGACGGCTATTAGTTACCTTACATTGGAAAAATAGTGGCTGCAAGAAGCGCACAAACGTAAAGTTGGGGATGAAGGAAGTCCCAAGGAGAAAGACAAAGACGTCGAAGAGTTGCTGCTGACGGTGTTACGAGCTCTTGATAAGTTGCCTGTGTAGACTTGGATGGCTTGAAGACCTACAGTGTAGGGAAGTCTGTCAATCACCTGCGTAGTCATAAGAATCTGGAAATTTTGAGGGGAACATTGGAAGCATATCAAGGCATAGCTTCGATGTGAAATTTTTCCATCACAGTAGGGACTAGTTCTGGAGATAGATTCGCTGCCGGCCGCATCTGGCGGCGGCCAGGTGTCGGAGATTGCTGGTGGGGAGTTAGGCTTTCAGCCGGCTGAGATTTTTGGCTGCTGGATCTTGGATGCGATGCAGGGTCGTCGGTGGAGAATCTCATTCGGATCACTCGTCGTTGGGAGGAGCTCGACTAAGAGTATCGACGGGTTTGAATGTTGATGATCAACATAGTGAATTAAGAGAGGGAGGAGCTCGGCTGAGAGTGTCGACGGGTTTGAGTGTTGATGAGCAGGAGAGTGGATTAGGAGAAGGAGGAGCTTGACTGAGAGTGTCAACGGATTTGACTGTCAATGATTAGGAGAGTGGAATCAGTCATCGCTGGAAGGAGCTCGGCTGGAGAGTGTCCACGGGTTTGGGCGTCAGAGAGTGTGATTAGGAGAGGAGTATCAGTCGTCGCTTGGAGGAGCTTGGCTTGAGAGTGTTGACGGGTTTGAGTGCTTAGTTGTGATCAGGAGAGTAAAGGTGTTCGGAAGTGTTGATCAATCGAGGCGTTTATGATGTGGTGACCAAGTGAGATTAGTGAGTACAATGTTAATATGAGTTGAAAACTCCACCCAGAGTAAAAACTCTAAAGGATGGAGTGTTAAGTCTCACAATTAGATTTGACAAATAAATTTTCATCTTGCATTTAACTATAGTGATATCAGGTAACTAACAATTGCTTTGTCATAATACATTGACGACATATTTATTATCTCAATAATGTCAATTGAACATGTAGATCTCATTGTGAAAAACAAAAATAATAGCTACTTCAAATTTTTCTTGTTGTATTTAGATAGTAGTAATTAATATAATTGTTTTATCCTGATTTTATTTGAATTTTGAAATAATTCTAACCACATAAACAAAATATATTTTTGATTGCATACTTACACTCATTTTTTAAATCTAGAAATATCAATTTGATAATATTTAGTTTAACTTCGGTCAAAGAGTAAACTCATGTTTAGTTAATTATAGATGAGATTATTTGTCGGTGTTGGGTATATATTTCTTGATGATTCTGTGCTGTACAAGTTGTTGTGATTTCACCTTGGTAGTAAAGTCTCTCACGTGTATTACTCCGTGAAAGTAGCCCTCAAAATGGTGAACCACGTTATCACTATGTATTCTCTGTTTACCTACTGTTTGCTATGACTACTTTGGACTGACAAATGATATAAGAGTGATGCGTTTTTTGTGACAATGTGTGTGGCAAGTTTGTGGAAGGCGAACATTGATGACATATTTTTTTATGTGGCTGATGATGAGGTTTTCGAGGAGTTTTTTGAAGCTAACGAGTTCTCGTCGCAGATGGATTTTTTCTGTCGCCGACGGTGACGGTTTCAAGAAATGCAACGAGGAAGGTTAAGTTCTAGAGGCTTGCATGTATGCAGCAGCCGCGGTAGCTATTGTTGCATGAGGTTGCAGGTGCCGGAATTGTGTCCTTTGTGTGGAAGGTTTCAAATTTGCTCGGCCTCGCATGAAATTTGATGGCATGCAAGTTTTTGTGCTCCATGGAATTTGAAGCCGGTACCCTGTTGATGCTTTGCCTCGACGACAAGAGGTCGCACTCGTCTTGAGCTCCTCGTCGATCAGTCTTGCCAAAAGCAGCTGACAGTTTGAGGCAGTGTTTTGCTTTTCAAATACAAAGTTCAAAAGTCTTTGAGAAGAAGGTCAAGAAAAATTTGAGTAAAGTTTTCAATTAGTTTGAAGTTCAAAAAAACTATCAATAAAGTTTTCGGTAGAGCTCCAAGTTTCTAAAATCTGGGAGGATCTACGTCGAAGCAAGAAGAAATAGAGACAGCTTGATACGCTCCACACGATGCCAGCAAAGAGATCAGGCAGGAGATCTTTGTGTGAACCTTTTTTTTCTGGTTGAAATTCGGACTGCAGGCCAAGAGAGGCAGTGATGAAGAACGATCTGTTGAGAAGTGGACAATTCGTGTATGAGTAAAAACACGCCATGCAGATCGCCAGCGCCTTGTGTTTCCCCGCGGATTTGAGGGTTGGAATTGCTGCAAGATGAAGATCCGTGGAGCAAAGAATTTTTTTCTTGCGTCTTCGATTGCGTGCAATTTGTTGAAGGCAGACGACATGAGTGCTACCTCATTCTCAGTTCTCGAAGTTTGGCCTAAATGCTTTTGAACCGAGGAAACCCCTTTGTGTTAGAACTTAGTCTTAAAATTTTCCTAGAACCGATCCTAGAAGTGATGAAGTAGAAGACAACACTCTCGATCGCAACGCAGTAAGTTGTCAAAAATTTGACAATTTTGAATCTTTGTCGAGAAATCAACAAATTTATCGATAGTGACGATTGACAACGCAAGTCAACGGAGATGCGAGGGGACGAGTAGAGTCGCGGCCGCAAGCTTCCAATTGAAACAAACGGTGCCCAGAATGCAATGCGAGTCCACCATCCAGAGTGCGGTGACAACCCCTCAAGACGACACGTGTTTTTGTCCTCGAATGACACATCATTCTTCAGCGGGACACATTGATAACACAATCAGCTGAAATATGGCAGACAACTTAGCGAGCCCAGGAGGAGCGGTCAAATTGTAGATTGCCATGTGGCGAAGGCGACACGTGGGACACGCCACGTAGGCCTAGACGACACACGTGGATGACATGTGTTGATTAACGTGACGGTTTACACGGCGGACAATTCCGGGCAGACGCATGCAATAGCTAAAATACTTCATTTAAAAAATTATTCCTTTTACAAATATTATGTCCAACAGAATTTTTGTCAAAATAAAGGCAAATTGAGTATCGTCAGAAAGATCTCAACGTAACTAGTAAATTTAGAAGTTGTTTGTGATATGAAAGGTGATAGAGAAGGAAGAAATGTCCGCGGAAGCAACTATTTTTCCTAATTTTTGCCGAACGTAGATGACATCGCGATAGGTTGGAGTATCAAGGTACAACACTATACCTTTTGATGGGTAAGGTAATTACTTGCTTTAAGAAAAACAGGTCAAAGGCAAGTTGAGATGTATGGATCTGTGAGACCAGGTGTTGCACATGTGTACTAAGTCTTAGAAGTGGTCAAGAGAGTAAGGATGATTAGCCAAGTCATAGCTAAGTCTAGCTAGTTATGACTAAACTAATTAGTTATAACTAAGTTTATCTAGTCATGACTAAGTTTAGCTACAATGTCTATAGTTGGCGGAATAGTTACCGGAGTTCTAGAAGAGTGGAGTGAACATTTCTATTTTGTCTTTTACAAAGTTCTAGATACTAAGGGATTAGATATTTGACTAGAAGCTTGGATTTGATTGGTTTGACTAAATGTATGAAAGATGATTGGCTACACTAAGTCCAATGTTGATGTAGTGGCTAGGAAGCTTCTAGAAGTTTTAAAGCTTCAATTGACATGTCGCCACTTCAACCTTAGATTCCGGAAACTTCTAGAAAGTTTAGGTAGGCCAATAGCATGTTGCAACGTATAGTGGATTAGTCAAACTTACATAGATAAAAGTGAGTTAAGAGATATCCACATGTTACTATGATAACTTCTCAAGAAATATAAATAGAGAAGTATAGTAACACCTCTCAAGCAAGTTTGGAGAGTTCATGTGGAGTGACTTGTTTCATATATGAAAGAGTGACAATTTTCAGTACTTTGGAGTGTCGATGTGTGTGTGTGAGTTGGAGTGCTACCTTGAGTGATTGTGTGAATGGATGTTTGGACTATGAGTGTGAGGATGAATCCTAGTCACTTAGAACCATGATGCGCTACCGCAAAGAAATCTGAGTGAGAGTCAGCTTGGAGGTTGCAAATCTCACTATGTTGCTAAGGGACAAGCTAGTGCACATTAGCAACATTGAATGGAGGTATTCACAAGAGGAGACAATCTAGAGGAGCATTTAGATACTTTGCTTATGAAGCAAGTTGAGAAGTATGCCAAGATCACACACTTGTTTAATGCTCTTCATTGACGATTTAATCAAAAAGAACTATCAGACGTGATGAACATCTATATGAAACTGTTGAACTTCAAGATGAGATCTAGAATAAGGATCCATGATCACATTCACACCTATGGTGATTTGTTGGTTGATATTAAAAATATGGGAAATGAACTTCCTAACATGGAGAAAACTATGCATTTTCTCCAATCATTGACTCCATCCTACCTGACATTATCAAAGATTCTATTTCATTGTGATAACAAGACTATCTCTTACAACAAGATTGTAAGCATTCTCTTGACGAACGAGATGAAACATTATGATGTCATCATCCCGGCCATTCACTTCTGAGATCGCATTCATTGTGATCGGAGGTCAATCACATTCAAAGGATATTGAAGAATCAAGGCGTACGGGATTGAAAACACAAAGATCCAAATTTTCTGGACTGACAAGAGTACAATAAAGGCTTAGTCATTTGATAAAAAGAATGTTATATGTTGGGGATATGGTAAGAAAGACCACATAAAAAATAAATGCCGGATGACATTCTGAAGTACGGGCTCTCCTCTAATGGCGAACGTTGCGGAGCATTTTGATACTGAGGAGAAAATGTGTTTGCAAACGACCTATGATACCAGAGATATGACCTCTATAGTTCACCAAATGTTGTTGGTGATGTATGGATTTTGGACAATGCTTCTTCCCATCACATTTGTTATATTAGAATTTTTTTTTGTACTCTCTTAGTATCAAACCGTTCAGATCTATGTGAAAAGATCAATCCTGTAAAATTGAGGGTGTTAAATCTGTTAAGATCTGCATGTTTGATTGTATAAACAGTACGTTGATCCATGTTATGTTTATACCTAACATGAGAAAGAACTTGATATCTCTTAGAGTGTTAGACTCATACGGCTTAGAGTGGAGTTTTATGCAAGGCGTGATAGATGTCAGATTGTGTGATAAGAATGTTATCTTTTGAGGATACAAACACAAATTTTTTTTATTTGTTAGAGTACATCACTATTTGTGGAGAAGTTAACTTTACCAGATCTTGCGTTAAGATGTCTCATGTATGACATTCCAAACTAGCCATATGAGTGATCGGTACATGTCCTTTCTTGATGAAAAAAAGTTGTTTTGAGGTTTAAGTAAAGTTGACTTAGCAATTATAGATGGTAAAATGGTAAATGATAATTGGTAATAGATCAAGCCCGGGGACCCAAAGGATCAAAAGGCTAAAAAACACAATGCAAGCAAAAACTACAAACAAGGGAAATGACGCCAAAGGTCAATCCCTAGTTTGTGCCAAGAGCACTAGAACGGTAATCAATAATGTCCATAATATAACAACCTAAATCAAAAGGAACTAACTGTAATAAAAAATAGAAATTCTCCACATCTATATGATGACCAAGCCTAATGTTTTTGTACCTAAAACAAGTAACAAATACATTTTCTTCAACCTCAATGTACCCACTATCACATAATCTACAAGTACGTTCATTCCTATCAATATTAAGCCAACGTCATTTCTCAATTCCAAGCCTATGAGATCTAGTTCTATGCCTAGCAATAATATGATGTAAGTGCGTAGAGATTTTTCCAAGTAGTTTTACTATTTACAATATACAAGCATAGGATTCACATGAAGTTGATAAAAAAACATTGCATCATGAGAAAACAACATAGACAAGCTTTTGATGTTGAAACTCATAATTCCACAAAGACACTGGAGTATGTACAAAGTGACATGTGGAAATCCTCTCCTATTGCCTCACTCTATGGAAAGTTGTACTATGTCTCTTTTTATAGATGATTACCCTATGTATGTGTGGATGTATTTTCTTATCCACAAGTTTGAGATGTTTTCAATTTTCAAAAGTTGACGCATACAAGTTGAGACTTAGTCTGGACACAAATTGTACAAAAGGTAAAATATCTACGATCAGATTATGGTGGCGAGTATACTTCTGAGGATTATCACAGGTATGGTACAATGAAGGATATTACTCACCATTTCACGACGGTTTATACTCCACAGTAAAACTTTGTATGTAAAAGGCTAAATTGAATAGTGTTGAAGAAGGTACGGAGTATGTTGAACAAATCAAGGTTACCGAAAGAATTTTGGACTGAAGCTGTTAACACCGCAGTTTATTTGATAAACCTTTCTACTTCTAGTGCAATCAATTTTTCAACAACGTTTGAACTAAGACATAAATGGATGGCGGATTGTAGTCGCTTGAAAATTTTTGGTTGTACTACTTCTTCTCTCACACATAAGAAGCACAAGACGAAATTAGATCCTACATCCAAGAAATATCAATTCTGGCATATGTTAGTGGAATGAAATGTTATAGGCTATGTGATCTACTATGTCGTAATATGGTGATTAGTAAGGATGTAACTGTCAATGAGCATGACTTATTGAAAGAGGGAAAGAGTTTTGAGGCTCCTCGTTGACAAAGAAAAATCTTTACTCATAGATGTTTTTGTGGGGGAGTTTCATCATTATATCACTAATGATCTGTTAAAGGAAGTAGCACCAGTGCATGTGGAGCAAGTTCATGAGGAATAGGAACTACAGGAGTAGGTCATTGTTGATGAGCCTATTGCAACAGTTAAAGACAATAGAGATCAACCGGAAACGTTTACTATTTACCATTTACCATTTACTAGAAGATCGCAATGTGATAGTAAGGCTCTTGTGAGGTTTGATGTGTGCGTCAACTCATCCCTTATCAAACATTGTGACCTTGATTTTGAGTATAAGTATGCTATGACGTTGATTTGGAAGAAGATGAATCTTCTTCATATAGGAAAGCTAAAGTTTCGGTCAACAAGCTTGAGTGAAATGCTGCTATGAAACGAGAGATGCAGTTCTCATTAACAACAAGACTTGGGAGCTAGTTGAACTTACTAAAGATCAAGCACTGATTGATTCCAAGTGGATGTATAATTTGAAAGACAATCTACCAGAAGACAAGGCGAGAATCTTCAAAGCTAGGTTGATGGCTAGAAGTTGCACACAAGAGAAGAATGTGAATTACAACAAAGTTTTTTTTTTGGTAGCAAAGTATGATACAATTTGTCTGGTTTGTATATTGGCCATGATATTCAATCTTGTTATAAACCAAATGGATGTGGTTACAAATTTTCTTTATAGATATCTAGAGAAGGAAATCTGCATGAGACAATCAATTGGCTTTGAGATCAAAGGGCAAGAGTGTTTGATTTGTAGATTACTGAAATCAAGCAAGCTTCTAGACAATGGAATACGCGATTTGATGAGTTTTTGAAGGCACAAGTTTTTCACAAAGCGTGTATGATCCATATGTCTACATGAAGAAGGTGAATGATGAGAGATTCAATCTTATCATATGGGTACTTTACGTTGACGACATGTTCATCTTGGTGAAGAATCAATCCGATGTTGATGAATGCATGAGTTTGTTGAAGTTTGCATCTAAAATGAAGTATATGAAGGAGTCGAAGAGGATATTAGGGATTAGTATTCATAGAAATTTTGAAGAGAAGAAGCTCTGGTTGAGTTTAGGCAAGTATAATCTCTGTTTACTTGACATGTTCAACATGACCAATTCAAAACGAGTATGGATTTCTCTACTTGCACATTTTAAACCCTCCGCAACTCAATGTCCTATAGATGATGTGGAGAAAGGAAGATTGTCATATGTTCTCTATGAACAAGCTGTAGTTAACCTCATATATTTGAGTGTGTGCATTAGGCATGAAATTGCTCTTGCAATGGGTAAGGTGAGCAAATACATGTCGAATCCAGGTAAAATTTACTAGGAAACAATGAAATGGATTCCGAAATATTTGAAGAATACTGTGGATTATGAATTACTGTTTGATAATTTATTAGACAATGCCAAATCCTTGTTTGGCTACGTTGATGTGATCTACGGAGAGAGTTTAGACAAAAAGAGATCTACAACTCGATATATGTTTACACTTGGCGGTGAAAGCATTAGTTGGACATCTATCTTGTAGAAATGCGTAGTTCAGTCAACAATGAAAGCTAAGTATGTGACAATAGAGAAGCGGCAAAGAAAACTATTTGGCTGAAATAAGCTCATCGTGGAGATGAGATTGACAAAGGGCGTGGTCTATCTTTTTTTATTTTACATTTGGCTGCAAACCAGATTATGGACAGTAGAATAAAGCACATTGACATCATATATCACTTTATTAGACAATCAGTGTTTGAGAAAACGATTGAGCTAGTCAAGATTGACAATGAACTCAATCCAACTTATACGTTGACCAAAATTATTCTTTTGGAGAATTTCAATCAAGACACTGTATTACTATGCAGGTGGTGCATGAGGAGCATATGTAGAGTTTTGCTAACATAGTATCTTCAATAATTTTTTTATATATTTACTCTATCATGAGATGGGTACGACTTAATACTAGTTAATTTTTGTTTAAAGAATTACCTTGTGTTAGATTTTTCTAGAACTTGATGCAGAATAATTATATTGGTCACAAGGTTTCTCTTTCTTGGATGTTAGCAAATGTTTTAGTTATGTTATTACTCAATCTTACTATGTCTAAGGCTTAATTCTATTCAACTAAAACTATGAAAATGTTGAAGATATCTATGAAAATGAAAATTGAACTTAGAGATATATTCTAATCTATGAGCAAAATTTCTATAATAAAACACAATGTTATGTTGAAAATGTCAAAATGTATTTTATACAAATCAATGTTGAGTTGTGTCGAGTTCAATGATCAATTTTTTCCAATATGTTTAATAAATGTAATAATAAATATGCAAACCAAATATTATGAGGAAAAACAATGAAAAGATTAAAAATTTTTAATGTATTTATTTGAAATAATGCTAAATTTTTGAATAGTATCAATATTTGGACACATAAATTTATTCAATAACAAATTTTGAAATTTTAAATGTTGATTTTATTATTATTATTAACTCAAGTTTTGAGATAAATTCTAATAAATTTTACTCGAGTTAAAATTAGATTTAGGTTTAATCCTGACTAGTAATAGGGTTACTATTATTTTGTTCTCCATTTTATGTAGGAGTGCAAGACATATAATGCATTGACAAATGTTTTAGGTTCCAAGAAAAATCTCTTTATTTCGTGGAAGGTGTACACAAGTGACGAATCACTTGTAGCTAGACTTGATGTTGTCTACGCATACTGTTTTAGTTGATTTTCTTTATTTTTCCTCTTATAGTATTTTAAAAGTTCAAACGTTTGATACAATAATTTAATATACATATGTTTGAGATCAAATATTAATTGATGAACATCATGTTTATATTTCATATGAAAAAAATGAAATCATTTTTGAAATATGAGATTTAAAAAACCCTGCTTGTAAATCTAAACTCAATTTAATTGAGATGAAAGTATTTTATATATATTTTTTGAGTATCAAAAATTTCATATGTATATTAGAGTATGATAATTGTTATAATGAAACCAATTTTATTGAATTTTTATCTGAGATAATTCATATTTTCTTTTTGAAAATGAAAAACATAAATACTAATCACTTGAATGTTTTTTGGCAATATACTCTGATAACAAGAAACCAAATCATAATGATAATAATATTAACAACACCACTGCTTATTATACATTTAATACACCTTAAGAATAAATCACATTAGAATATACTAAGTACATTGATTGAAGTTTAGTCCTGGAACCGATCACGATCATCTCCTAAATAGTTCTCAAATCTGTGTGAATCCGGCACAGATCTGAGAAACAAGATGTGTTTAGGCTGCCGGTCTCTACTGGGGACGATTAGACTCAGACCCATAATTCTGTTTACGTGTGCATGTAGAGACGACAGGCAATCAGGAATCTTAATAGTTCGTTCTCAGTGGTCCCCACGTTCCCTTAAGTGGGGACCTGAAAGTTATTCCTGAACTTCAGTTCTCATCATTCATTTCCATTAGCAACGGGGCCGAGCCAGTGGGGAGGGGGGGGCTCCGCCAGATATTTCTGTGGCGCCGCAGGCTAAATTTTTTTCTCGACCGCGTTTTGTGAGCAACAGATTGCTGTTGCTCACAATCTGAATCACAATCTGAATCAATCTGTACCTCACAATCTGTAGACCCAGTAATTCTGTAGCTCCGCCACTGATTAGCAAGGTATATTTGAACTACTGTCAATAATGCAGGAGACGAAATGCTCGCAAGCACAGCCAGTGTGCACTCATGAGAAAATTAAATTCCGTGGAAGGATCTGGATTCATCCTTCGCAATTATGAACACGTCAAATTGTGACGACATAGAGTTTCTGTTACCGAGAGGATGATAGAATCAACTTATGAGCAGTAAATTCAGTCCCTTCGCAATTCGTCCAAGTGCTATCTAAAGACAATTTGTTAAAATGCGCCTCACACGGGAGCGCCTGGGAAAAAAATCATAGCTTGAGTGACAATTGAGCCCACAAATCATGTGATGACGCACATTTAGGGAGAACTCAAATCTGCGCCACCCAATCTTCAAAATGAGCCAAGTGCGATCTTACTACGCCATCCGCACTTGCTTCAAACTCTTCCAGTATCACCTCCGAGCGTCCATCCACTTCTTGCATCCTCGTATTCACCTGCCAATTTTTCCGATATTAGTCACAGTCAAACCGTAGCTTACACCTAACATACAAAAGGCTTGCAGATATTCTGCAGAAGGGATTTGGCTATCATCCTCCATAAACTTCCAATAAGAGAATGCTTCTTTCTCCAGAATTCTGAGCGTATTTTTCCTCAGTATACAGGAAATTTAAATTCTTTTACTTGGACAGCTCGCCTCGCCGATGCCATAAAAAGAGCACAGGGCGACTGCAGAGTGCAGAATAGCTATGTGAAACGACAACTATGTAGGACAGCCAAGACCAACATTTCCATGCTAAGTTCCAACTTGTATCAGAATGTTCACGTGACTGAGTTCGCGTAATGCAGGTAGTACGCAAATCGATCGAGAGGTATTGACGATTAAGGAATTAAATTAATTAAAATCAAGGGGAGAAACTTCATACCTGGACAAACATAGGCTGAGGTCGTTTATTACTCCGTATAATTTTCCGATATTTCATAAGCTCACGTGGCACAGTCGTCAGCTATAAACCAAGCAATCCGTCAACATAAACCATTTCCGGTCCACGTACGCAGCTTTCTATGGACATTTTGCTAGTGCAGATTGTGAAAATGGTCTACTCAAAAATACTCACTCAAATGACTTTGCACTTGCTTTGCATTCAACGTTCCCAACAAATTGGATTGATTCGTCTTTAAGGCAGAAGTAACTATTATGTAAGAAATACGTACCTCTTGAAAGAACTTCTGGCCTTCCTGCCAATCAGCCGTAGACTTGTAGACTTGCAGTTTCAGCAGCAAGTCACTGATAGCGGGTAGCCCTACCGCTCTGATTTTGCTACGATTGAGACACAAGACAACATCATTAGGTCCACGAGGTCTTATTTGCAGGAGATCAGCACCGTGAGGAAGTTTGTTGGCAGCATTCTCTTCCGCCTCCTCAATTGACGCCTCAAGAAGGGTTCGAAGAATAGCAAACCTGGCCTGCAAATTCTTGAAAGTGTCACATAGAGAAATTCTGCTGTACTTGCGCAGTCCGCAATCCCAACAACATGAACCTTAGTTGCAGACGGACGACGTAGAATCGCTAAGCTGAATCATCGTCCGAGGTAGCGCAATTTAGGGGATGCTCAAACGAAGAAATCATCACCTGCATATGTGCCTGCCTCCAGTCACCGCTATTCGGACTGAAGTACTCCAAAGCAAGGAAACCGGCTCTTGCCTAACTCACCAATCAAATACTCAGTCATTACCAAAATAGTAGAATGATCGACGGTAGATAAGTTCCAATCGGATAGAACATCCAGCAATACACAGTTCACAAAAGCATGGCTGCAAGGGCTATATTATGGACTGTCATATCTAATGTTGTAGGCCTGCTAGCTTACCATCATCAGCCAGTTGATGTACATAATGTTCTCAGCGGGTGGGCCGACATGGCCAAAAATCTCCATAGCCTACACAGATAAATTACGGTGCTCACTGAGAATTTCCTGCATAAACATCTGCAAGCATTGAAATGAGTTTCACTTGTTGAAATGTCTGTCTTTTGACATCGACACTTTAGTCTCACCTCTGAATTTGTACTAAGAAACAGTCCAACACACTCAGCTCGACATTCCTCGAAAGCTCCACTTATTCCCCCAAACTTAGAATTCCATGTTTCGCCAGGTCCATAGCATGACACTACTGCTTCGTGTGTAAAAGGATGCTTGATCTGCCCCGCAAGACATTTACAAACACATTGTTGAGATTTACACAAATGAAAAAAGGAAGATGCATACTGATAGGGCATCTCAATGAGCAGGGAATTCAATCGATCGATAGAGAATTGATTTTTGTCAAACATCGTAGCGCTGCTATGGCTTTGATATTTGATTTGATTTTCCACATTTACAAAGAATACTCGATACTGTTTCATCGGCAACTGAACTAATAGTTTCACAGCAGGTCACAAGGCAACTCCAAGACTTTCATGGAATTAAAAGATCCTTACCTTTCCGTATGGAAAATTGTAAACACCTCCACTATCTTGACTGAAAAGTTTCCCGGAACCATGTCCAAGGAGTTCATGACAAGCTAGTTGAACAATGAAAACTTCTTTCTTCGTTCGCTTCAATAGCTCAATGTCGTCATCTCTCAAGAAAGTTGTCTGAAAGCAAGCCGAATAGCAATCAAACTCTCCGCTCATTGTGATGAGTAATAATATTTCAAATGTTAGCCCATAAATATATAAATGAGTAATCCAAGACCATAGTATGGTCTTGGATACATGATTTTCCATTTGACCAAAGTATGGTCATATAGGAGATCGGCACAATATTACGAATTTCCAATAGTCATTCCACATACCAGAATTCTTCGTAACAAGAAAATGGGAAGCTACCTTCGTATCCGGATAGTGAGCTTCGAGAACATTCGATAAACACACATTTCTGCATCCGTAAGTCTGCAAGCATGCAAAGACTGGTCAGAGCTCACATATGCAACATTCAGGCGCTCGCGAAAACAATGTACGGCCTTCTATACCTTAATATGTTCAAATAGTCCATATAGAAGCCTGACTGAGCATAGGACGGCATTGGGAAGACTGAAGTGCCTTGCTTTGTTTAATTTCTGAGTGAACTCATAAAATTGCTCGATTTCCAGGCAAGATTTCATATGAAAGGGACCTCCGCGGGAAGCTACGTACTTGCCGGACGTCCTGATAATTTGGAAGATTAATGCCTGTTGGGATTGTGCCATTAGCATAGCAAAATACCTACAGTTATTAACGACAAGAAACAAATCAGTTTCTAATCCGACCAATAAAAACATCTCGAGAGACTAGACATATTAACCATCCACGGCAAGTGTAAGGGGCAGATGTGTAAGCAAGTGCTGCGTCGTGTGTGTACGTCGATGCACGTGAAGGTGCCACACTGAAGTTGATCTGCCTCAAAATCCTTCGGCCACGGCAAGGACGACAAAAGTACATCGGCTTTCTTCGCCAATTCTCCAAACTGCTTGGTTCGAGCCTAAATACACAGATTTTCGTACTATACATTAGCAATGCGGAAGCTTAGAATCAGCTAGAAGAGGCCAGAATGCAACCAATCTGATCTCAATATATGATCAACTTCTCCATGCCTCTAATTATCGGCAAACAAGCCAAAAACTCAAAAAGATCCATGAAAGTTTGATTACCTTATTGACAAATGCTACAAAGCCTTCAAACTCCGCTCGGGATCCCGTAGGATCACGGTATGTCTCAATAAATCTGAAGAGAAGAATAAACAGAAACTGAAAGAATTTGATATCACAGCAGATTTTTAAGTTACTACAATAGTAGATTGGCTTTTCGCATACCTTACTGTTTATCTACACTACCTTGTTCACAGCAAACCTATAACTCATCGGTTGCTGCTAAAAGGCTGAATACAATTTCAAACTAGAGCAATAAATTAACGATGTATGCAAAAAAGCATATACTGGGTCCGAAGAGAATGAAATATATTATTCTAGATGTCCATAGAATATAGAATATAAGGGGAATCACCGGATTATACGACGCAGTGACGTTTTATTGATAGTAAGTATGCACGCAGATTCATACAATGCTTCTCTTTAACTCCAATTTCCCACACAGGCGAGCGATTCTGACTACGCACACATAAAGGATACACAGTAAATAGAGTAATCGGAGAATATTTGAATGAATATCGAGACCAATCATAACCAAAACTAGCTACACTTGTCGCATGATTCACTCGATGACACATTTTGGACATTAAAGAAGATTTGACCTTCCCGACAACTGCAACAAAAATTCTTGAAACGAACAGCATTGTTCGTAGCCTACGAGTCTTGATCATGTGCTTATGAATAGTGACAGGAGAAAAGTCCAAATCACGATATGATTTTGTCGAAAGCATGCGATCCATTTTTTGGTTGGATTCTATGTGTAGGAGTACATCACCCGAATCGACGTACTGGACATTTGGAGATGCTGACACAAGACAACTCAGAAGGTGAATGAAAGCTAGGATCGTGTTTGATGTGCAAGACCCGCTGTGAAGTCTCGAAACTCACCCTATGTTGATTTCAAGGGACGGATCATTTTCATTCAGCCAAAGGAGCTGACTCCTCTTGTGGAAATCAACCGATCCAGTCTGCAAATAATCAATAAAGCTGCATGTGCATCACACCAACGGAGACCCACATGAATAAGTTTGGCAGTCTCGTAAGGAATTACCTACTTGCAATTACAGGGAAAGACATTTCTGCGAGCTTCGGCATTCCCTCAGTCTTCGAACATAATAGAAACATCTCAAAAAGTGAGCATGGCACGTGAGAGATGACTTCATGTATATAAACAAGAATCTGAAATGCAGAACCTTCCAAGTTCGTGCTCGAATTGAATCCGCGTTATAGAACTATGACACAGCCTATACACCGACCAAAACTTGACACATGTAAATTATTAGATTTCTTCGGAATAGACACGTCATGTACTGTTCAACGTTAATGGTGGCTAGTTTATACAAGTACGCAAGAGCAGGTCTGCTTAGTCTGCTCACGGAGAAGGTTCTTCACAAGCAACCTTTGTCCTGTAGAATCAGTCTCATCGTAAAGCCACCAACATCGACATCCCTTCGGCTACTCCAAAGCTGCGATAGGTGTCTGTAAAAGTGCACTCTGACTGTGAGCCTAAGTTAGAGTCAGTTATTAAGTGCAAAATCCGACGATTATGCTGAATCTCACCCACGATGTACATCAGCAACTAAAATTTCGGCCGCCAACTCAGACTTCTGTTTTTTGGATTTATATACGTAGGCTCCTGACATGGGTAACTTGCAGAAGTAGGCACTGAGGTCTGTTCAAGAGAGTACACATTTTTTATTATTTGCCACAAAGGTATATGTTTTGAGCAAAAGGCTAAGCAGACTGCCGTTTATATGGGAGTTATGACCAAGCTGCCAAGTTTCTTGGGGACTTATAGTTCAGTCATAAGGAGGATCTAGAAGTAGCATATCCAATATCAGATTTCTAAAGAAGTTTCAGAAGGAAAACCACTTGATTACTTCATCACGACGGTGGAAGTGCTTGTACAGCAACTCTGACAAAACTAAGGACTATTTCTATTGTGATTGGTCATTTCAATAAAGGAGAACTACGTTTGACGTCATCCTCAGGAGAATAAAGGATATGAGAAGCTTCTCATTGTATATTACCACTTAACCATTTCACGGTGACAGTCATTATCAGCGTACACTAGTGCTTGCTTTAAATGCTCCACGACGTCGTGGAGTTCCTCCTTGAGATCACCGCGCACAATGTTTATGATACACTTGTTCTGCATAGCATTAAAATGTGGGAAAGTTTGTAAATTATGTCAATATTTTGCAAAAGAGGATTCGTTATCTGTTTTACAACAACATGTATTGCCGTTCATGCGAACAGCGCACGACATTGAACTTCAACTTTTATCAGAAGGAAATTTTGAGGTTGGCAGTTATATAATTTAAAAAGCGGAATGTAATCATGACAAGAACGAGAGCAAAACAAAAGAAGTGGATGCCTACATACTATCAGGATGACGAAGAACGAACCAGATGTGTGGATATGCGTTATTATGCAAACAAAGTAGTCTAAGCAGTATGATCACAGAAACTATACTTGAAGGCAAGAATGGTACAGAAAAACTAATGTGAAGCATCTGAGAGGAAGTTAGTACTCTAATTTGGACTCTTTATGATCTTAGTAAACCGTTCCGATCATGAATCGCATTCACTGACATCTAAAGTTGTGCGACCAGGAGAAACCGCTTGCAAAGTTGACATACCTCAAAATTATAAGTTTCTATAGGGAAATCTAATGAAGAAGCTATTCGAACGTCGTACTCCGGCAGTGTATCAGAATTCACTGAACTTTCTTTTTTAAAGATTCTTGTATTCCAAGGCTCTATATTTGCCTGCCTCATCCATTCCTGCAACGACAGATTTACTTTCTCACTAAGTGAACAGCCAATCTCACGCTCGAACATCGGCAAGAGGCAAGCATCGAGGAAAGGTCGAACTTCTTCTTCCACATTCGTGTTCTACCTATCTTGCAATTACATTCTAAAGAACTCAGAGAGTGTATCCTCACCGAAACGAGGTTTACATCCTGAAGAGTGATGTTCGGTGAATAATACGCCGAGGTACCACCGGGTGGCATCCCTAGATGTCTTTCCCCTGCATGATCGACCGAAGTAGCGATACACTTTCATCACAGGTAGGATATATAACACTGGTACAGGTTCATAACCCAAGGCAAGAAATCAAATGTACACCACTTCAGAAAAAAATGGAGAGTTATTTATCACGAAACCGCATATGGTACTTTTCTTAGTTTATGAAGGCGAGGATCTTTTACGCTTCCGTAGGGAAAAAAGAACAAAGTCTCTTAAGCAATTTAAGATAAGAACCAGTGGCAATCTATACACTTAGGCTCGCCAGAGCCTTCATATGAAAATATGTCAATAAAGCCGTTGTGTCTAACAGTTCCGATAGCTTCCTATCTCGACATACGCAACCCAACCGGAATTTTGTCGAAAGTATTCACATTCTTGACAGTCTACGCTTCTTGGAATAACAATGATGAGAAAATCACGAGCTTGTACACCCAATCCCCGTTCATGTTCATGTGCGTGTCGTGATAACCACCCTGATAGATTCGGAGCGTACCTGGGGCCAACGAGAATGTACGTTTTCGCGTTTTCTCCCATAGAGACATCAGACCCTCTCTTTTCTGGTCCTGCGAGCATTCATGAAGGGTTCGGCTCATTGACCCAAATACTGTTCAAGATAGTTTCTTGTAGATTAATTGTAGATCATAATCCTCTTCCCAAGCAGATTTTGTTGGTGGAAGCTTTTGCAACACACGCGTACAACAGCAAGAAGATTGCAGAAAGGGACTGATGACTGTAATGATGGACTCTAATGAGTCATGTAAATTTTGCATTCCATGATGACAGCTATCTTACGGCAAGCTATCCCGTTGTCAGGTGTCAGAATATCAGATCTATCCAGGCCAAAGGGGTAACCATCCGATCGGAGAGCTTCCAACAATGACCGGATATTATTAAAAACAACATAGACTTCGAACTTAGATAATACTGATCCTTGGTCTTGGACGATAATTTAAGTAGAATTATATCATACTTAGTTAGATACGTACAGTTACTACCTTTCCTAGTCAGGGTTTGCCTGTCACGGATTGACAATCACAAAGACATCGCCCTGTCTGAGGAGTCCTACAGGTAGGAGACTGAGAAGAAGAGACATAAGCCCTACGCTGAAAAAAGAGTGCAGAAGAGATTGATAATGATAGCTTTGGCGAGTATGTGTGAAATATTTGCAGTTCAACATATATATAGTCATATAACAAGACTTCTAGTTGCAGCTGTATGTAGTGTGGTTTGAACACATAAAATACGTATGGATTCTTATGAGTCCCACTGCTTAGTACGGTAGTCTCACTATGGAGATCACAAGATTATTTCTAATAAATGCAGATACTAGTAGTTAGTATATCATGAACTTGAACTATTATGGTTCATCTGGCACGAAGAGAGTCTGGAAACTTGAGAAACTGCCTTATTCTTAAAACTACCATTATGTACACTCAGGCATCAAAACGCATTGGAAAAGACAACTTCGATATTGCTACAGAACTGTTTACCTGCAAGGGACACAGTTTCAAAATGAGCTCAAATTTGTCTTCTGAAATTCCTGGAACAATCTTCAAGTCACCGAACGCAAGGTAATTTCCTGAAAGGAGGTCAACAGAAACGAATGAAATTTCCTCATACAATTTCGGACATATACTACACAGAAGAGGGTACATTGTACATGCTTCAGACAAAGTAGCATTCCCATCAACCAGAGGTTCCAATCAATAACTAGTGTTCGAAGTAAGAATATGATGATTATGAGATTATGAGATGATTATAAGATGAATATGAGATGAATATGATGATTATGAGATGGATATGAGATTTTAAGATGATCCGTGCTTCTTTCGAACAGTGGATGATATGGATAGGACGTAGTCATGTAACTTGTAATGTTATATGTCGAATAAGTATAATCTGGCTCTGAGGATATCACATACGAGCTTCATTCGAAACTAATTTAAGGCTAGATCAGACTTTCATCAGATACCACTGGAAACAAAGGAGAAACTCGTATCTGTGGTTCTTAGATCAATTGAAATATTTCCTGATATCAACAAAGATATCATCAATAGAATCACCCAAAACACTCCCTGAGTCCGGGAGACACAATCTTGGTAGTGCAAGTTTTGTAGGTGTGTACGGTATCTTGTATGGTACTTCCGACCGGTCTGAATCTATAGTGAAGAATACCAACCAAAGCGTAAAAAGGACATGGAAGAAAATTCTGCGCAGACTATCTCAGAAAGAATGTACTGCGTGTCTTGCTTGGAGTTACTCAGACTATCATGAAGTCAATGGTTCGATCGTGAGTAAATTAATCTATATAATAATTACGGACAATTCACGTACCCATGTTGGTAAGAAAGCAAGTTGAATATGTCAAAAATAAATCCCACTCCCGTATGGTTATACCACCTACAAGACATCTCCGCTTCAAGTCGGAAAGAGATGACGAAGAAAAGTATATGACCAAGAGCCTCAAAATATCTGGACTCTCCTGAAAAACATGAACAGTGCGATAAGTGTTAGAAGACGTGTTCACTTGTGCACGATTTGGGCATCAAACATTTACTATTCAGACGAGCAAGAAAGATCATGAACACTCGCGTCAGATAGAAGGCACCAATCTACATGCACATGACCATCAAGCACGCTCGTTGAATGTGAATTGAGACTAAAAGGGCAGCTGATCATCCTGATGATAATTGCATACCTCCCTGATACAGTTAAGCAAGGGTTGATCATATGATCGACTAAGGGACGTTTATGATAATCACCGGGTAAAATTATTAGCTACAATGTGTATTGAGGTCAGTGAAACCCCGAATTGGAGAACGAACCTGCTGGAGAAGGCAAGGAGAATGGAGAAAGGTAATATTAATATAGAGAGAGATTACCATAGCAACATGAAGACAAGACATCAACGCGCGTCATTTCCAAATATTTGTTACGACCTTGCGGTCCAATCTCCAATACTTCAACTACTTTCTTCCAATAAAATGGAGCGCAAGGTCATAAATCTAAATCTTGCAGTCAAAATTTCTTCCAATACTTCAACCACTTCTGGAGTAATGATTTCAACGGTGAAGACCAATTTATATAATAAGAAACAGGTTTCTGATTGACGCCAGATGGAAAGTTTCATACATCGTATACTATATTCGGACCCGAATCAACCTGCATTTCTATAACCCTAAAATAGCTTCCGTCAGCAGATTCTGAAGCTGAAATTTGTCCCACCTTGCTATCATATCACCAAAATTCACGAACATTACCAAAAAATATGACACATTCACTCGTATTCTTAGTGTGCGCAAGTTGTGAGATCATGGCGTATCTTGTGCTACCAGAATCCATTCCGACAGAACGATAACATTGCGAGGTAAATGTGCCTTCCGAAATAGTTTCCAGTATCCAAAGAGGAGTCATATTACAGTGCCCACACAGCGGAGTCAAAACAAAGGCTCATGCATCTCCACAACATGTCTTGCTTCATCATACCTGAGTCCAAATCGATCATATGCAAACCCCAGACCTGAGAATCGGCCCTAGAGGTGCGGTGCATTTACGGAGTTTGATGATGACCTTGGAGTGGACTTCGGCCCAGAAATGGAGTGCCAACATGTTAATTGAAACACTAGGATCCATTTGTAAACAACATGTATTAATTTGTCAATCGCCACGTCTGGCATGTGTCGTGTAATAGAATTCTAGCAACGCCTAGCAGGTTGCGGTAATTCTATGCTGTCAATGATCCGAATGACACAAATAGAGCACGTTCACTGCTTTAACATAAAGAAAAACATTAGATTTCTTTGCAACTGTCCGGAAATTCTCAGACACGAAATCTCAAAATCTCTACCATAAAAATGAAAATACGGTGCAATATATGTGTGTTAGTTCGCGATTTCAGATGGACTTGAGCACATTTATGCCTGAGGGCTGCAACAAACATGTTCCCTTACCTGTGATAGCTGTTTGGCACAAATTCGTGATCCATTCCATGAAGCCCGGGAGAAATGGTGAACGAAATGCTTTTGAGTTTCAGTCAACTCGTTCCACGCTTCCCTACACGATAACCGGTAGACAGGCAAGTTCATGGGAACCACGTGCATCCTTCTGATATGCCAATCAGCATATCCAATTGGAGTACTAATCAATGATCCTGCCGGCTGTGCCATCGGTTGTTGTGTGATTGATCTCCCTTCTGCGGACTTTTTGGATCTCGGCTCGGTGAATCGGGAAGATTCACCTGGTTCCATGTCGTAGCCTGTTAAAATCAAATAGTGGAATGAGTCTACTTTCAACATCTTCGATACAATCCACACAATAGAGACGAAAGTACCAAGAAGAATCACGAACAGTTTTCAAGGTTCCTACAGGCTTGAGATTGACATCCAGGAGTGAAAGAAAGAGATGAGAATTTGAATTACAGTAATATTCGACAGAATAACACATTCGCGGAGAGATGGGAGATCGCGAAGCGTCTGACTCATGTTCACTCCATGAGAAAAGAGGAGGAGAGGGTTCATAAATTGGAACCAAATTAATATCACAAGCGATCTTCCCACGTTCAAGGGGAAAATGTTCCTAACGAGCAACTGGCTTGCTGAACACGACAACAAATGAACGTTGCACACTCTATCAGGAAACTTTGGAAGCAGATCCGACGTCCAGAACTTCCTGAATTTCTGCTTCAACAAGAAAATATAAGTTCTTGATCCCTGATAGTAGAGATTTCTGGTTGTTCATCGCCTGAACTTGCTTGTCTTTCGTGCCTTATTACTTATCTTTCCAAAGAATCTCAAGACAGGAAAGTATGATTCAAAATTTTGCTAAGTAAGTTGTTTACACTTCGCCCGTATCTAAGCAAGGAATCCATTTGAAAGGACATTCATAAGTCTAATCTACACCTAGAACCATGAAGAAGTAAACACATTTCGGTCCAATTCCTCATCTTCTCTTCACTTCTGAGCTTTCTCAGATAGTGATCGCCTTGAATTTCGTTTGTCCGGCGTACTATAAGTCTTCTGAGATTCCAATTACTTTCATGGGTACAGAAGCCTTTAACAGTAATGAACTATTATTAGTCCGCGAGAGTTTTGTCTGATTCCTGTAGACAAAATAACCGGGAAAACGTTGTAGAACAGCTCGATTGAAGATTCAATCGACATTCTCATGGCGTTGAAATTGGTGAATCTACCTGATTAAATGTCTACGCAACTTTCAGGTTTCAAATTACACGGTACAAATCGTTCGCGTTAACCTGGTAGCTCTTCAATTTAGTCTTTACCGTCACCACTTCATGCAGCATTCTGGTTCTTTCTTCATGCCGTACAAATACCTGTGTTGTAGCCATAAACTTCGACAGAGAAGGACGAGTTCTAGAAAAGAGAGAAGATACCTAAGCTGACCAAAGTATCTACTTCATGAACACTATAGTTTTCCCATCTGCGATGCGTTTTCTATAATGAGAGGCTGATCCCAAAGATCAAAGGTGCAGTTTTGAAAAATCACTCGATCGTGTGTGTAACTGATGACAGTATGGCTCATGAGATGATGTAATCCTGAAAATTGTGGGAAGAAAAACTAAAAGTAGGAGAAGAAAAGAAAGGGATGAAGCAAAGGAACACGCATTCCGGCGTAGATAAAACGTTAAGAAAATTGCTCAATTCCTGCCTGTAAATATAAATATGATGAGAATCCAATGAAATAAGATCTTATCCTATAAGCAGGTCATTGGATAACATTGAATAGTGATCCCCATCCAAGGCATCTGCAAACGATAAGATGCAGTGCCAAACGTTCCAACTGAGACCAAGTCAAAAACCGACATTCACAGTAGACATCGGACCTGCGAGTAAGTAATGTTGCGTACAGCACGACATTGATTCCAAATTTCTGTGCAGTGCTTCAACCCAGGGGACATCTGTGGACGTGTTGTGCTGTAGCTGTCTCAAAATACGCAAGGAAGCATTCAAAAAACGACATGCCGTTGAGCCAGGCGTGAAACAGATGAAATAGTACATGGTAGTTAGCAAGCGCAGAGGTCAACAAGCAGAAAATCTCCGTGTTACTCTTCGTAAGCTGAAAGACGATGCAAAAAGAAGGACTATGAAAGGAATAGGCTAATAACTACACTACTTCTGTAACAGTGAAACAGTGAAAGATTGAACCAACTCTACATAGTTAACAAGGAGTTATGAATAAAATTCAGCTATTTGATAGAGATGCGTAGTTTCTTTCCAGGCAAACGGCACTTGCTGATCAATGACAAAGATGGCTGAGTGGATCAGAACTCTTGTTCATGTCCTTTCCCATACAAACAGCTGTATGTTTTAACAGGAGCACTCCTAACAATGACCTCACAATTGCACCTTTTCTATGAACTTGGGCACAATACTAATCAACAACCCTATACAACTTTGTGCAGTTCACATGTACATTTCATTCGTATACTCCGATCTGTGACGCAATCGTCGCAGAAATATATATACAGCTTCAGTTAAGGCCGAGAAAAGAAATAGAAAAGCTGACTAAGAGACCGTTGCAAATCTCATGCACAGGCATTGCAGTTCTCATCTCAAACGATTGCAGCCCACAAGATGTTATCACAACAACATAGATCTTGCTTTTGAGAGACCATCGAAGCTTACCAACTTGATGCGTGATGAATCAAGATGCATACCTATGCTTTACGATGCGGTTTCTGCCATGATTGCAGTAATCCAGCTTTTACAGCGAACTCAATCTCTTCAGCGGAGAGTACATGATGGCCCGAACAGCTGACTTGAAACCGAAGAGGCCACACGGCCTTGTTATCGATACAGATCTCAGAGCGTTTCTGACACGTTTACCTTCATTGAAGAAACAGTTTGACATTCTCTCGGATGTGGAACATAGTACTCTCCTCCAAATTTCGGACATCATAACCTTCGTGGTAAGCTTCCAACTTTCACTCCGTGCGGAAGGTGCATTCGTAGGCTTGCATCATCACACATTCACTCTTCAGAACTATGCAGCTCGTTCGATCGTTTTCATTTTCGGATTTACACACTCTTGCTAACAGGCAGTCTTCTTCCACGCTGTAACTGGTTTAGAACTTCCGGACGCTTTCAGCTCCGTACTTCATCTCAATATAGTTGCTTCGCAAACCAGCAGCCAGACAGGAATGTGGAGTCAACGTACTAAGAAACGCAATATTTGAGAGGGACGGTTTACGAACAAACCTGGTGTGAAGGGAAAGACTTAAGGCCAGGATGGGTTCGCCTGGCATCCATCGACCAGTCGAAGAGCTTCACAACTGCGATCCTTTTCGAAGAGCGCGAGCTTCGAAAACATGTAGATTTCGTGTTGGCGCCCTCCTTCACTTAGAGTCGAAAGGGATAGCCACAAAAATAATCCACTAAATTTGATTGCATATCTCGCGAGTGGTTAGAGAATGGGCGCCGTAACCACGGAATGGGAGGAGCGCACAATGCAGGTGTGGACCACGCTCGTCAGAAGCCAGCCCTAGATTTCATCTGCACCTGGGGCTCTTGTTTGCTATACTAACAAAGTCGCACTCCATCAGAGATATTTCTGCTCGCTGTCAAAGCTCTCATGTCAACATTTTGCGTCATCCATTCGCGATATCGGAAGAGAAATCTGTGGAACTGACTCATGCGCCCACAAGACTCGCTCGCGATACACTTGGAAGGCTGATCTCGTCCAGGGGAAAGCCAAATTGCTGTTACCACCGGTTCGATGTGAATACTGAACGTGAAAACCTCTGACGAGCTCTGAACGCTGGCCTACATCTCTCTAGAACAAAATCCTCTTGCAGCAAGTGCGGGACACATCATGCGGCAAGAACTCGGACACCGGAGAAGGCTCTCCGCTGACTGAAAATCGATCCGAATGACAGGACCACGCGGCGTGGAAGACGGAGGTCAAAAAGTTTTCCGGCGTTGGTTCTAACCATGTGAGTCAAGCCACATCTTCGTTCAAAGCAGAAGCCGATGTTTGCAGTGGCCTTTAATCATACCTCATGAACTCTCGCTTCTAAGACCAACACGCAAGATATTCTTCTGTGCTGTCGTCCGGCTAAACTAGCGGTCTCATCATCGTGTTGGCAGGCCCAAGGGCAGGAGGCAGGAGCAGGCAGCGGTGTATTAACAACAAAGGCGCAATTCAAGAAGAGCTGCCCGTTTGCAAGCTCCTGACTACTGAGTTCTCCTCTCGAAATGTGTCACCTCCAAGCCATCCCATTGGCTCCATGTCTTTTGTTTTAGTCCCGCTTTGCACTCCGTGAAACTTCTGTGGGTGGGCCTGATTGGCACATAAGAGAAAGCGCGCCGCCACTTCTGTCGACGCGTTGATGTTCCGGATCGCATTTGTCCGTTGCTACAGAGTTATCGTTACGAGGCATGAAGGAAGGCTTGACATGCAGGAGCCAGGCAGTGTAAGACAAAATAGAATGTCTTCCCGGGTAAAGTCCCTGAATTGAGAGACCTTCCGATCCCGACACATCAAGGCTGCGGCAAACACTTGGACTATTTGGACGCTCTATCACTTTTGTGCAATGATGTCTCCCCAAATTGGATTGTAAGGGGAAACAATTAAATGTGAACTCTTGTGAGAGGAGCTGAGGCCATGTTATGGTAAGCTCTGGGTTCAAATTAGTACGGCGATCTAGCAAAACAAGCACTCTTTGTTTTCTTGTTCCATAATGGGTACTGGACAAGAACAATCCGGAGGGTTGGGAGGATCATCCAGTGATGTCACTGCCCAGCCGTTCCCTAAATATGCAAATGCTTCTCTTTTGGTCGCGAGTACCAACAGATCCACAGAATCGTAGAACTACTCCCGAACTATGCAGGAGTTTGAAGACAAACGGTTGTCTTCAAACTCCTGCGTACTAATGGCCACCAACGGTGCTGGTGAAAGAAGCATGTCTCTTTCGTAGCAAGAATGTCATGGTAGAAGGTAACTGCCCATACTATCATGAGAAGACCTTGGTTGCGGATTACCATCATCTTCTGTAGATTTTTTCCACTGCTACAAAGTAGAACATCACATCGGTCCTCTCTAAGCTGTTAAGTATTCTCCACCAGCTTCTTTTTCCATAATTCACTCAAATCTTTGACACTTCAACAACCAACTGTAGAAGGAAGACCAGGAACCAGTGGAGTAAGTCTACGCTTGGGTCCCAAAAAACCTTCGGTGTAGAAAAGGGTTTGAAAAGAGGACAGTGAGGACAAACGTAGAACCGAATGTGATATGTGGTGTTCTTAAATACATCATACTAGTTAGACCTGCATCAAATCTAAACCACAATGATCTTGAATGATGATTTACCTGTAAATTCAAATTGATAAAGAGAAGGGGAAACACGTACAAGAATACATATCAATACTTTAGGTCTGTCAATCGCATGCCTTAAAGGGTCCCTATCTTAAAGTCAGAAAGCAGAAAGAAGTTGTCAACTGAGCTGAATAGACGTAACCTGAACGAACAAAAAAAAAACTCAAGATCGAGGTGAAACCCGATTATATATTTTGTCTGGCACCAACACAAACCCTACTTATGTTCTCCGTTCACTTAATTTACAGATAGAGCATAAGTTAAAGTCAGTCCGTTTCCATGAGGATGCTGATGCTTGGACCCAGATAGTTCTGGAAGTTGAAAAAATATTTCTAGTGCTGACAGATCAACATAATGGCAAGATTTTTTTTCAAATGAAACCTTCAAAGATAAATCGAAATCAAAAGTGACGTTTTGTGTCCTTTTTTCCCATCTTCTGTTCTTCAAAGGTCTTGGAGGTAGTGACAAAATGTCAACGTGCAACCATAAGATTCTACTATTATTAGAGGGGTTTATTTGATCCTCATAGACCAAAAATTACGCAACTTCGGTCCTATTCACTGTGAGGGCTTAGCAATTAACCAGTTTTCTACCAGTGCACCGGTTTTTGACGAATTAAGCATGCTTTTGGAGAATAAAGTGACTTAGACGGACCCTAGAAAATGAAGATATAGGAGTTTCGCCACAAAATAGACGCACAAAAGAGGCTACACCCGTAGGTTTAAAGAAAAGAAACAAACAAACCAGTTACAGGAATTTATCATTTTCGTCTACAAAAAAAGTCCCAGTTTCAAACCTCCAGACTCACTCCACATTCAGTAAAATGTGTGATATGGTATTCATTACATATACAGTAGACTGCTGTTGAAACTGTGTGCAAATGCTAAACGATGAGAGAAGAATAATGCATGAAACATAACGTATAAGCAAGTACATATCATTCGTTTTAGTATCATGATGTAACATGCGTCCATAAAAACCAAGAAACCAAAGAGATAACATAAGCTTGACTGTGTGAACACATTACTACATTCCGCGTGATGATCTCTATAAAAAACGAGGCAACAAAGTTAATGTGATATAATAAGCAAATATGTTATTCTAAAGTAGGTGACACCTTCGAAAACTACGACTCAGCTTTCTTTTTAGATGATTAGTATCTATCAGAAAGAGTGGACATGGAAAGTTTCGTCCGTTTGATAAACACTTGAAATGATACAATAACACAAATATGATCCAGATGACAGGCAGATTGTGCTGAATTAGTCAACTAGGATGAGGGATCTTTCATCTTTCTTTCGCAAATAAACTGTCTTGCATTTAAATACAATCTAAACTTGACATTATTGGTAGCTACGTGGAACTGGTTTATCTAAGACTTGTAAGAACCTAAGTTTGTTTATCAAATCTCACATGTCTTTTCACCTTAAGTACACTTGCGGGACACTTTCTATTATTGCCTATGCTTACAAAAGTTAGGTATTTAGAATTTCTTATGCACGACATTTCCTACGTCCATTCAATATTAAGTACAATTACAACATGATTGCAGAGCAATCTCAAAATTTGATATGTTGGGATCACTGACAGATAACGTTATCATACTTGACTCACATTTACTTCTTCATACAATTTTCTTTGTAATTTATCACGTAGTTATTTTCTTCTGGACAAAGAAATTGGCATTCATCTTACTTCTAAGCTTACTGCCTCTTCCATGAAATTCTCAATTATAAATACCATGAAAATAATCCAAGTGTCTTCACAAAGTTCCAGTTGCCAAATAGAAATATAAAGCTTGGTTGAAGTTCGTTCCCAAGATAATCTACTCTTAGAAAGTACATAAGAATGGAAAGAATATGTAAAGAGTATCATGATGTACACGACGTGTCACTAAAGAACAAGAAATTTGAAAGACGCCTCCTGTGGGACTTCTGCAGAGATGAACCCCAGTGAAAACAGAACAAGTACTAGGGGTAGAGCTTGAGAACAACTGCGTGCTGAAGTATGTATTCTGAATCTGGTTCAAGTGTTAACTACGCGAGGACGGTGCTTCGTTTACAGGCAAGAATAGATATAAATCTCTCAAAGCTTCACATTGGCAAGCTCATGGCCCGAAATTACCAAGAGAAAAAGATAATGAATAACGTATATGTTTTAATTTTTTTCACTGAATTAGAAAAGCAATCAAGAAGACTACATCATTCGCAGTTTTTGTTTTCCTGATGTCTCAATATTAGTAAAATCGAAATGAAATCGACACCTAGCAAAACATCATCTCCACAAATAAGCCTTGATTCAATATCCACATGTGGTGCTCTTTTCAGGTTAATGATTGGGGATCAATCAAGTTTAACTGGTGGATGAGCTAGTGTATACTTTGCTGATTGACACCTGGAAGTTCGGAATTAATCTGGTTATTGAAAAAAAAATCCTAATGTGCGAGACGCTTCACATTATTTATAATCATTCCCCTTCTACAAAACTATTCATCTCCTATTACTTCTTTTCTTCCAAGTCTGGCACTATTCAAACGCTCAGCAATGACAAAGAGTCTACAGTTGGAAAAAGGTCAGCACAGATTATCAGTGGAATGTAACATCCTTTGCGCAAATTAAGAACGGTTAAAATCAATTCAAAGTCAAATCTCACAAAGGTGAAGATGATATGGGCTATTATCACTGAACAAATTATGAAAATGTGACGTCTATAACATCTTGGCCACGGGAAGCTATCAGAGGCCTTGTGCCTTTACTACTGTGAAGCCATCCGGAGTTCAATGACCGCCACAAAACGGCTCTTTTCCTGGCATCTTCAGTTGTTCATTTCGAAATTTCCGAGTCATGAAATCTAAAAAATGAATGAAAAGTTATAGTTGAACTTCTAAAAAGTTTCCGCAAGAACACTGCAGCAATTCAATCTACGTTTCAGTTGTACAAGAATTGTAGAGGAAGATATACAGCTAGTGTATCGAGCATCCTATGTGATGTAAGATGTAAATGCACTGTCATGATCACGTTGTCTGATGTTACGCAGTGACCATGGCAGAAACTGGAAGCATGCTTTTTATTGCCGAACGACTACTGAACGGCTTCAGCAATGAGCAAATATGACCATCAGTAGTGACTCAGCTTACAAAAAATCGGAGGACTGGGAAAACTCACCCTGCACACAGGGGCATTCGGTGAAGTGGGCTATCTTGATTCACAGGCTATCGTCCGGTTGGAAGCATTGGTCACTAAGTCTTCAAGATAAAGTATAAGTCTGCATGTGCGACTACGCCAATTTACTCTAGAAGCACTAACCTCGTAAAGTATAACTTGTGCCCCAATTTGCTCTAATATAGGATACTACGGCATCCTTGTACTCGGTTAAAGCATGTTTGTTCATTGTAGTTTTTCCCTGTGCTGAATATAATTCGCGAGGCGCTGCAATCTAATATCTGAGAATCGAAAACTTCCAGCCTTAAAAGTCATGTTTGGTGCAGTGACTGCAGACAGGAAGCAGTATGAAATTTTGAAGAAACTGAGACAACAGAATATAGCTAGAGATAAGTAACAGTGAGTACGTTCTTAGAGTATTCAATTTACTGAATAAATATCACGGCGATTATTGTGGACCATTAATATTCAACCTTGTCCTCGATGTTTGTTCGAGAGAAGCTCACCAGCTTTCCGCGGAGTTTACAGGGTTTTTTCCTGTCAAGATATCTTCATGCTAATTGAGATCACTAGTGCGACGACTCCTCAATTTGAACAAAATCTACTCCGACAATGTTTTGTAAGCATTGACTAAGTTGTGCCTATGTACTTATATCTTTGTCAAAAGATGGCGGTTTCATGATTCGTCAGGAGATAACTGTAATCATTGGAAATTCATTTAGATACAGTCTCCTGTATGTGGACACCTCTATTCAGTCGCACATGAGCTCAATTTTCTAACTTAAGAGATCCTTAAAAGAGACTCAACTCCAAAGGCTGTTGCGTCAAAAGTTGATAAAAGGGGAGAACCAATTGAATGTGCTTGAAAGCTCATGTCTCCGCAGTAATTTTCTGATTACTAACGGCAGGATCGCGAGGAAGTTTTAGAACTCACGCAAGCATCACTTACAATCAGCAGGCACTACGTACCATATAGTTACTTATTATAGACGCTGAGATTTCTACCAGAAGGTCAGTATCTTCCAGAGAGCCATGACAATGAAGTATGTACACAAGGTGGTGTAACTTCAGTACCTGATGAAGAGACTGAATTCTTTAAGTGTCGGATTTGATAATGCTTTAACGACAGATGTCGCCTCGATTTAACCAGTGTCTGCTGATATGATGATCGTCGCCAATAATTTTTGGAGATGTTTGCAGAGCACGCAGATTTCTCCCAAGAGGCTCGCACCCACTTAGATATTACCTCCAAGTCAATTCCAATTTCAGACTGTCTGACGAACGACGAATGTACAACTAAACTGCACCCAGACATTCTGCCTCATCCATACACGCCATGTGTTCGCAAATGTGTTTACACCAAAGAAAAACTGAAGAAAGCAGGCCCAGACTTCTCACGACACGATTTTTTTTTTCATAGAAGTAAACCCTAAACAATACACGTGGGCAGACAATCAATCCCTCAGGAGTCCAATAAGACAAAAAGCAATAAAGAATTTGGTTTACGTTGATACCTGTTAACATGAATGAAGACACCGATCTAATTTGAGAACACGTATAACTGATAATTAACGTGGAGTGTTGCTGATCCGTTACATACATACAGCTGCTTGATCGCACATGAAGAAGCTGCTAACATGAATGAAGACACCGATCTAATTTGAGAACAAGTATAACTGATAATTAACGTGGAGTGTTGCTGATCCGTAACATACATACAGCTGCTTGATCGCACATGAAGAAGCTGCGCAGTCAGATTATTCCTCACGCGATAGCCTCGTTACGAAAACCAGGCAATTTATAGATCAATTGGGGATTAGAGGTGTAAAACAAGAGATCCACATCGAGAATGAGTATAAACTAAATATACAGCACCTGAAAGGACTTATAATTACGCGTACAGTGTGAAACTGGTGGTCAGGGTAGCAATTGGTGGTATTTTCGGCAATCATATATTGTGGATAACATCGAAGCAAGATTTTGTCTACAGACAATCAAAATCCCGCAGAAGACAGAAGAATTGGAATTTAGTAATATAAGCCGCTTTTATCACTTGCGTTTCCGACCCTACAAATCTTACGGCATCGGTATCGGATAATATATTTGAGATATATGTTAGTACAAGTTCTAGGTTGTTCAAAACGGGATCCAGAAATTTTTTATGCAATCTCCCAGAGAAAGGAATTGAGACTTTGGAGTCAATTTCTCAACTCGAATTAGACAACAGCAGTATGAGTGACATATTTGAGTAGACGTAGTTGCTACTGAAAGCGAATGTGAACAACTTCGCGCTCTGTGTGCTATCACCAATTGATTGCAGCTTACTTAAATCAAATCAAATGAACTGCTCGGTCCCTGAAATGGGTAACACGCCAGTAGTGATATTATACCAAAGTCAACAGAAGAAAATACATATTACACCCCTGTAAAAGATCGCTCATACATTTGAACATTAACCAAGCAAATGATTCCATATTATTCACCTGTAAGTTGAAACGAACACCAACTTTGAGTATTGGATATGCTTTGTTTCAAAATCACTAATTAAAAAATACTGCTACTGAACAGGAATGTCATCTAAAGTAGGATGACATTCCTGTTCAAAAAAGCTTGGAAAATGTGGAGCCAATAATACTTCAAGTTCATACCTGCTCTATTGTGTAAGCCAGCACGTTAGAGTTGTTAATAAATAACCTTCGTAATGCTTATCTAGGCTACAACTCAAGAGATGGAGACTTGCAATCATCCCTTGTCTCTCGAGTTTTGACCAGGATACATTTAAGATCTTCCAGAAAGCTTGAAAAATGCGCGACCGATAAGAGGACAGGAAATTGATTCAAGTAGCACCCAGGCAGTACCGTTCTTCGGGCCTGGTTCTTATAACATTGCTTTTCCAGGACAAAATTTGAAAAGTATATATGCCTTGATTGTATGAGTTACACAGTGAATACTGGTTGAGACCTCTCATTCTTCAGTGACTGTCGCGTCGTAAGCGCTTGTGTGATCCAGCTAGAGGTACAGATTTGGTAGTAATTCCGAAAAGAAGGAAGGGTCTCCTACAGAGCTGTATCTCCGAGATCATGCTCATCTTCCTTGAGGGAGATGAGCATGATCAGACACTGAAGTTATGAACAAGGCTGGGCACTTCTCACTCAGACCAGCAATTGATAACTAGCTTCTAATTTCACCTAATCTTTGTCTTATATCCTATATTGCAGGAGGTAGTCCTCCACAGTGCCAGAAAAAGCTCCCAAAGATCACGCACCTATGTTTCTAAGATAGTAATATGATTATGATATGTTTATGATATGGTCAGTGACAGCTATAAGAGAAAACTTATCTGAAAGAGTGATGAATCGCATTCAGAAGGAGAGAACGTGTCGATTGTGTCAGTACAATGAGCATTTGAAATCTAGAATGAGAGGCATGGTTATTGGACTTTGTCCATATAGATATTGAACAATGAAGAGAGATGATAAACAGGAATTTTCTCACTCTTTCAAGTGATTCGGAGCCTATAATGCCTTCAGAAACTTGTTACTATTACAGTCTGATTTTATTGAGAATGAGGTGTACATGGTTCTTCTAGGAGTTGTCAATACCTCTGAAGAGTCATTCTTACAATCTTGACTGAACTTCTCACTATATATAATCTTTAGATGCATCGAAGTCAGACTTCCCTTCAGCTTGTGCAGACATCAATGTGACCCAAACACTGAGTACAACTACAACACGAATGCAGGTGAGTATCCATCCATGCAAATCTTGGACTCACTTACAAATAGGTTCTCAAAGTTAAATGCATGCTTTGGTCTTAGAGAGAAAAATCGCGCGCACTTTCCCCTTCATATACCAGCAGCTTCATACAAAAGTACAACAGGAAGCACACACTATATGGGAGTGGTTCCTAACCTGAATTTAATTCATGATTCCGATTGGAGTACCTGTTCTGCAAAGAAAATAAATTATACCTTATTTAGATCGTTGAGCCTAAAATTTGAAACAACATGTATTAATTTGTCAATCGCCACGTCTGGCATGTGTCGTGTAATAGAATTCTAGCAACGCCTAGCAGGTTGCGGTAATTCTATGCTGTCAATGATCCGAATGACACAAATAGAGCACGTTCACTGCTTTAACATAAAGAAAAACATTAGATTTCTTTGCAACTGTCCGGAAATTCTCAGACACGAAATCTCAAAATCTCTACCATAAAAATGAAAATACGGTGCAATATATGTGTGTTAGTTCGCGATTTCAGATGGACTTGAGCACATTTATGCCTGAGGGCTGCAACAAACATGTTCCCTTACCTGTGATAGCTGTTTGGCACAAATTCGTGATCCATTCCATGAAGCCCGGGAGAAATGGTGAACGAAATGCTTTTGAGTTTCAGTCAACTCGTTCCACGCTTCCCTACACGATAACCGGTAGACAGGCAAGTTCATGGGAACCACGTGCATCCTTCTGATATGCCAATCAGCATATCCAATTGGAGTACTAATCAATGATCCTGCCGGCTGTGCCATCGGTTGTTGTGTGATTGATCTCCCTTCTGCGGACTTTTTGGATCTCGGCTCGGTGAATCGGGAAGATTCACCTGGTTCCATGTCGTAGCCTGTTAAAATCAAATAGTGGAATGAGTCTACTTTCAACATCTTCGATACAATCCACACAATAGAGACGAAAGTACCAAGAAGAATCACGAACAGTTTTCAAGGTTCCTACAGGCTTGAGATTGACATCCAGGAGTGAAAGAAAGAGATGAGAATTTGAATTACAGTAATATTCGACAGAATAACACATTCGCGGAGAGATGGGAGATCGCGAAGCGTCTGACTCATGTTCACTCCATGAGAAAAGAGGAGGAGAGGGTTCATAAATTGGAACCAAATTAATATCACAAGCGATCTTCCCACGTTCAAGGGGAAAATGTTCCTAACGAGCAACTGGCTTGCTGAACACGACAACAAATGAACGTTGCACACTCTATCAGGAAACTTTGGAAGCAGATCCGACGTCCAGAACTTCCTGAATTTCTGCTTCAACAAGAAAATATAAGTTCTTGATCCCTGATAGTAGAGATTTCTGGTTGTTCATCGCCTGAACTTGCTTGTCTTTCGTGCCTTATTACTTATCTTTCCAAAGAATCTCAAGACAGGAAAGTATGATTCAAAATTTTGCTAAGTAAGTTGTTTACACTTCGCCCGTATCTAAGCAAGGAATCCATTTGAAAGGACATTCATAAGTCTAATCTACACCTAGAACCATGAAGAAGTAAACACATTTCGGTCCAATTCCTCATCTTCTCTTCACTTCTGAGCTTTCTCAGATAGTGATCGCCTTGAATTTCGTTTGTCCGGCGTACTATAAGTCTTCTGAGATTCCAATTACTTTCATGGGTACAGAAGCCTTTAACAGTAATGAACTATTATTAGTCCGCGAGAGTTTTGTCTGATTCCTGTAGACAAAATAACCGGGAAAACGTTGTAGAACAGCTCGATTGAAGATTCAATCGACATTCTCATGGCGTTGAAATTGGTGAATCTACCTGATTAAATGTCTACGCAACTTTCAGGTTTCAAATTACACGGTACAAATCGTTCGCGTTAACCTGGTAGCTCTTCAATTTAGTCTTTACCGTCACCACTTCATGCAGCATTCTGGTTCTTTCTTCATGCCGTACAAATACCTGTGTTGTAGCCATAAACTTCGACAGAGAAGGACGAGTTCTAGAAAAGAGAGAAGATACCTAAGCTGACCAAAGTATCTACTTCATGAACACTATAGTTTTCCCATCTGCGATGCGTTTTCTATAATGAGAGGCTGATCCCAAAGATCAAAGGTGCAGTTTTGAAAAATCACTCGATCGTGTGTGTAACTGATGACAGTATGGCTCATGAGATGATGTAATCCTGAAAATTGTGGGAAGAAAAACTAAAAGTAGGAGAAGAAAAGAAAGGGATGAAGCAAAGGAACACGCATTCCGGCGTAGATAAAACGTTAAGAAAATTGCTCAATTCCTGCCTGTAAATATAAATATGATGAGAATCCAATGAAATAAGATCTTATCCTATAAGCAGGTCATTGGATAACATTGAATAGTGATCCCCATCCAAGGCATCTGCAAACGATAAGATGCAGTGCCAAACGTTCCAACTGAGACCAAGTCAAAAACCGACATTCACAGTAGACATCGGACCTGCGAGTAAGTAATGTTGCGTACAGCACGACATTGATTCCAAATTTCTGTGCAGTGCTTCAACCCAGGGGACATCTGTGGACGTGTTGTGCTGTAGCTGTCTCAAAATACGCAAGGAAGCATTCAAAAAACGACATGCCGTTGAGCCAGGCGTGAAACAGATGAAATAGTACATGGTAGTTAGCAAGCGCAGAGGTCAACAAGCAGAAAATCTCCGTGTTACTCTTCGTAAGCTGAAAGACGATGCAAAAAGAAGGACTATGAAAGGAATAGGCTAATAACTACACTACTTCTGTAACAGTGAAACAGTGAAAGATTGAACCAACTCTACATAGTTAACAAGGAGTTATGAATAAAATTCAGCTATTTGATAGAGATGCGTAGTTTCTTTCCAGGCAAACGGCACTTGCTGATCAATGACAAAGATGGCTGAGTGGATCAGAACTCTTGTTCATGTCCTTTCCCATACAAACAGCTGTATGTTTTAACAGGAGCACTCCTAACAATGACCTCACAATTGCACCTTTTCTATGAACTTGGGCACAATACTAATCAACAACCCTATACAACTTTGTGCAGTTCACATGTACATTTCATTCGTATACTCCGATCTGTGACGCAATCGTCGCAGAAATATATATACAGCTTCAGTTAAGGCCGAGAAAAGAAATAGAAAAGCTGACTAAGAGACCGTTGCAAATCTCATGCACAGGCATTGCAGTTCTCATCTCAAACGATTGCAGCCCACAAGATGTTATCACAACAACATAGATCTTGCTTTTGAGAGACCATCGAAGCTTACCAACTTGATGCGTGATGAATCAAGATGCATACCTATGCTTTACGATGCGGTTTCTGCCATGATTGCAGTAATCCAGCTTTTACAGCGAACTCAATCTCTTCAGCGGAGAGTACATGATGGCCCGAACAGCTGACTTGAAACCGAAGAGGCCACACGGCCTTGTTATCGATACAGATCTCAGAGCGTTTCTGACACGTTTACCTTCATTGAAGAAACAGTTTGACATTCTCTCGGATGTGGAACATAGTACTCTCCTCCAAATTTCGGACATCATAACCTTCGTGGTAAGCTTCCAACTTTCACTCCGTGCGGAAGGTGCATTCGTAGGCTTGCATCATCACACATTCACTCTTCAGAACTATGCAGCTCGTTCGATCGTTTTCATTTTCGGATTTACACACTCTTGCTAACAGGCAGTCTTCTTCCACGCTGTAACTGGTTTAGAACTTCCGGACGCTTTCAGCTCCGTACTTCATCTCAATATAGTTGCTTCGCAAACCAGCAGCCAGACAGGAATGTGGAGTCAACGTACTAAGAAACGCAATATTTGAGAGGGACGGTTTACGAACAAACCTGGTGTGAAGGGAAAGACTTAAGGCCAGGATGGGTTCGCCTGGCATCCATCGACCAGTCGAAGAGCTTCACAACTGCGATCCTTTTCGAAGAGCGCGAGCTTCGAAAACATGTAGATTTCGTGTTGGCGCCCTCCTTCACTTAGAGTCGAAAGGGATAGCCACAAAAATAATCCACTAAATTTGATTGCATATCTCGCGAGTGGTTAGAGAATGGGCGCCGTAACCACGGAATGGGAGGAGCGCACAATGCAGGTGTGGACCACGCTCGTCAGAAGCCAGCCCTAGATTTCATCTGCACCTGGGGCTCTTGTTTGCTATACTAACAAAGTCGCACTCCATTAGAGATATTTCTGCTCGCTGTCAAAGCTCTCATGTCAACATTTTGCGTCATCCATTCGCGATATCGGAAGAGAAATCTGTGGAACTGACTCATGCGCCCACAAGACTCGCTCGCGATACACTTGGAAGGCTGATCTCGTCCAGGGGAAAGCCAAATTGCTGTTACCACCGGTTCGATGTGAATACTGAACGTGAAAACCTCTGACGAGCTCTGAACGCTGGCCTACATCTCTCTAGAACAAAATCCTCTTGCAGCAAGTGCGGGACACATCATGCGGCAAGAACTCGGACACCGGAGAAGGCTCTCCGCTGACTGAAAATCGATCCGAATGACAGGACCACGCGGCGTGGAAGACGGAGGTCAAAAAGTTTTCCGGCGTTGGTTCTAACCATGTGAGTCAAGCCACATCTTCGTTCAAAGCAGAAGCCGATGTTTGCAGTGGCCTTTAATCATACCTCATGAACTCTCGCTTCTAAGACCAACACGCAAGATATTCTTCTGTGCTGTCGTCCGGCTAAACTAGCGGTCTCATCATCGTGTTGGCAGGCCCAAGGGCAGGAGGCAGGAGCAGGCAGCGGTGTATTAACAACAAAGGCGCAATTCAAGAAGAGCTGCCCGTTTGCAAGCTCCTGACTACTGAGTTCTCCTCTCGAAATGTGTCACCTCCAAGCCATCCCATTGGCTCCATGTCTTTTGTTTTAGTCCCGCTTTGCACTCCGTGAAACTTCTGTGGGTGGGCCTGATTGGCACATAAGAGAAAGCGCGCCGCCACTTCTGTCGACGCGTTGATGTTCCGGATCGCATTTGTCCGTTGCTACAGAGTTATCGTTACGAGGCATGAAGGAAGGCTTGACATGCAGGAGCCAGGCAGTGTAAGACAAAATAGAATGTCTTCCCGGGTAAAGTCCCTGAATTGAGAGACCTTCCGATCCCGACACATCAAGGCTGCGGCAAACACTTGGACTATTTGGACGCTCTATCACTTTTGTGCAATGATGTCTCCCCAAATTGGATTGTAAGGGGAAACAATTAAATGTGAACTCTTGTGAGAGGAGCTGAGGCCATGTTATGGTAAGCTCTGGGTTCAAATTAGTACGGCGATCTAGCAAAACAAGCACTCTTTGTTTTCTTGTTCCATAATGGGTACTGGACAAGAACAATCCGGAGGGTTGGGAGGATCATCCAGTGATGTCACTGCCCAGCCGTTCCCTAAATATGCAAATGCTTCTCTTTTGGTCGCGAGTACCAACAGATCCACAGAATCGTAGAACTACTCCCGAACTATGCAGGAGTTTGAAGACAAACGGTTGTCTTCAAACTCCTGCGTACTAATGGCCACCAACGGTGCTGGTGAAAGAAGCATGTCTCTTTCGTAGCAAGAATGTCATGGTAGAAGGTAACTGCCCATACTATCATGAGAAGACCTTGGTTGCGGATTACCATCATCTTCTGTAGATTTTTTCCACTGCTACAAAGTAGAACATCACATCGGTCCTCTCTAAGCTGTTAAGTATTCTCCACCAGCTTCTTTTTCCATAATTCACTCAAATCTTTGACACTTCAACAACCAACTGTAGAAGGAAGACCAGGAACCAGTGGAGTAAGTCTACGCTTGGGTCCCAAAAAACCTTCGGTGTAGAAAAGGGTTTGAAAAGA